TGGCACTGAGAGTCGGTCCCCACACGAGTCGTCAGGAGAAACCTCGCTGAGTCTCCCATCTTCAGCCCGAGAACCATCCTGTGCCGCTCACTCTCCCAACATGCAATCCGATTACTCCCAAGTCACTGGGTTTGCAGGAAGGCGACTGACATGGGGACAATGAAGCTGATCTGAAAACGGGGAAGGGTTCCAAGCGCCGAGCTCTGAGGAGTCGTCTCGCCCCCAGACCGACGCCGGGGTCTGAGCTGCAGGAGAGGCTCTGGGGCGCTGGGCTGTCCACGCCCCGGCTCAGCTGCTCGCGGTGCACGCGTGCATCCGCTTGGCCACGTCGTACACGTAGGCGATGTCCGGCCGCTTCTCGGGGTCGGGGTTGATGCACATGTTCACCAGCTGCCGGAGCTGCGGGGACAGAAGGCAGGACACTCAGAACCCGGGGGCCACGCACCGAGATGGACGGACGGACGGGGCCTGAGCAGCCGGACGCAGGGGAGGAAGCAGGTGTTCTGGCCACGTGTTCATCTGACCGAGACACACGCGACTGCGTGGACGTCATCCCCACCCGGTGGAGGGGCCAGGACGCCGCTCACTGGTGAGCGTCAGTGTCAAGCAAAGGGAGCTTCCCACGCGAGGTGCTGCCCTTGCGACCACATGGGTGGACCTGGAGGACATCACGCCCAGCGAGAGGTCGGACAGAGAGTCAAGAAGCGTATGGTTTCACTCACAGGTGGGATACACAACCAAAAACTACAAATGAACAAAGAAGAAAAACAAGCAAACACTCAAACACAGACAACAGCATGTTGGTGACAGGGAAGCGTGGGGGGCAGCAGAGGGTAGAGGAGTCAACTACCTGGTGACGGACGGAGACCGGCTGGGGGGTGGGCACAGTGCACATGCAGATGGCGCGTCATGGAGTCGCACACTGACACCAAACAGCCTTACCAACCAATGTCGCCCCCACACATTTAACTTCAACAAGAGGCCTTTTCCACAACCAGCAGCCAGATTCTCTGCCTTATACGTATGTCTTTAGGAATCATTTAGATTTTTCAAAAACTTGCATTAACTCTTTCTGGTCAGTACATTAGCGCTTGTGAAATCACCAAATTGCTAGAATCTCTTCACAGCCATCAAGCTCTACCTCTGAGAGGGGCTAAAGATGCCATTTGTGCTCCTGCAATAGAGCAGACAGCACTAGAAACCCTATCTTTTCTCCGTGGTCACCTTACTCTCTCTCTCCCCTTTCCTCAGTCTCCCCTGAGACTCGGTGCCCAGGCCCTGCAGGCCCACGGGCGGCCGCAGCCGATGGTGAGCAGTGACCTCCAGGAGCAGGGCCAGTGGCCTGGAGGGGGAGCCCAGGAGGAGGGGCCGGCGGGCAGGGGCGGGCAGGACAACCTCCTGCAGGAGACACGCCCAAGTTTGGTTTTAAAGAGAGCCCGCTGGCCTGGTCAGGACCAGGAAAGAGTGTTTCAGAAAGAGGTAACGGTGCCCATAAAGACACGGAGACCGAGTTGGGTGTGGGGTGTGGGGGGGCGTTGGGGAGCTGCAGAGCCCCTTACTGTTTAGCCATAAACTGACACCGCCTGGCCTGGTCTGGATGAAAAGCCAGTTTACAAACCTGACACGTCATTTTTCATCGTGTCCTGTAAGCTCCCACCCTGAAGTGACACCGACTTGGACTTGAACCGACTGAAAGCCCTGCTCCGCATGCAGAGCCATGAAGGTGCCCTGAGCGGCAGCCGGGACCTGCTTGGCTTCCCCGGCAGGAACGGGAGTGAGGGTTCCACAGGCAGCCTGGGCTGCCCACCAGGAGAGAGGCCCGTCGGCACATCTGCCCCCAGAGCTCCCGTCCCGGGACGTTTCTGCGAAGCTGCCCGGATCCGGGTCATCGTCAGTCGCACCTTCCATGTCTCGTTTCTCTGGAAGGACCTGGCTGCGTGTGGACTTGGACAGCACGGCCTCCTGCTCACCAGGCACAGGACCTCCTGGGCCACGGGAGGAAGGTGCTGCCCGTGGGAGGCCACGGGGCCAGGACCACCGTGGAGGGAGGAGGCGGCCGGTCCCTCCGACCCGGGGCCTTCCATGGGGCAGACTCCTCGGACTCTGACATCTGCCCCGACCTCCCACTCAGCGGCCAGAAGTGGCCCCTCAGGCAGGCGCTTCCACCATGCGGCCCCATCATTAAAATCCTGCTGAGGTCACCATGGCAACCGCCCGCTGCGCCCGCATCCCCTCATCAGCCGCATGTGAAATGCAAATGCGGCGCGGAAATTAGTGCAGGAGGAGCGCGGAGGTGCGGGCGCGTGAAATATTCATGCCTCGCGGAGGGAAGCGGCCTGAGTGACACAACAAAGGGTTGGCCCTGACATGCCGAGCCCGGCGCTGTGCGCACGGCCGCCGAGCGCTCTGTGCAAAGCCGCGTTGATGATATTCCAGCCCAACAGCCATTAGGAACGGCTCAGAGGCCGCACACCGTCCAGCAAACATAACACTCTGATTAGCTCGCTGCCCGCGCCGTGTTCGCTCTAATGACCTGATGCAAAGGCTGCGGACACAAGCAGGCGGCCGACGACCCCCATCCACGCCCAGCAAGAGGCGCTACGCGGAGGCCGGGCGCTCAGACGGCAGAAGCCCTTTAGGGTTCACTGTTCCAGCCCCGCGGCTGCAGGTCCCGCAGAGACAGAAACAGAAACGGAACCGGGACTCTGCGTGCGAACAGAAAGCTGGCAGCCACCCACCAGCGAGCAGCGCAGCGGCTTCACGCTGCTCCTTCGCTCCTTCCCCTTCTCCCGGGCAGACAGATGCCCTCATCGTCCTCCCCGGGGCCTCCACCAGCTCCCGGAGACGTGAACAGGCCACACGCAGCTGACTGAGGCCTGCTCCGCGTGTCTCCCTCACAGGTGACATCACGCCGGGGTTGCTACCGTCATGAGGGGATCGCTACAACCATGAGGGGATAGCTACAATCATCAAGTGTTCGGCTAAAACGGGAGATGCTGATGGAGCCCAGGCAATTCCTTTCAGCGGGTTCCCCGAGCAGCGAGGCTCAGCCTCGAGGCTCACGCAGGCAGAGCTTCCACCAGGTCCCTGCAGCCCCATCCACTCCTCACAGGGCCACAGCGGGAGCCGGAGACCCGCCCGTGGGACCCTGCATGCGGCCAGAGGCGGGAGGGCAGGTG